TTTTTTGAGACAGTCTCACTATGTTGCCTGGTAGAGTACCGTGGCATCACAGCTCACAGCAACCTCAAACTCCGGGGCTTAAGCGATTCTCTTGTCTCAGCCTCCCAAGTAGCTGGGAATACAGGAAGCGATTCTCTTGTCTCATCTTCCCAAGTAGCTGGTACTACAGGTGCCCACCATGACGCCCCGCTTTCTTTTTTTGGTTGTAGTTGTCATTGTTGTTTGGCAGGCCCAGGCTGGGCTTGAACCCGCCAGCTCTGGTGCATGTGGCTGGCACCTTAGCTGCTGAGTTACAGGCACCAAGCCTATTTTTCACCTCTTAAACATAAAAATGGGAACTTCATATGATTCAACTTAAGAAATACTAGCATTTTTTTTTCCTGAAACAGTCTTACTTTGTCACCCTCAGTAGAGGGCTATGGCATCATAGCTCACAGCAACCTCAAAATCTTGGGCTCACTCTATTCTTGTGCCTCAGCCTCCCGAGTAGCTGGGACTACAGGCACCTGCCACAATGCCTGGCTAGTTTTTAGAGACAGGGTCTCACTCTCGCTCAGGCTGGTCTCAGAACCAGTAAGCTCAGGCATGCCCACCTCCGCCTCCCAGAGTGCTAGGATAAACACTAGCATTTTACAACTGAGTTTACAAACACAGTATTTGGGTTTCAGACTTCTCTTGAAAATTAGGAAAATGTGGCAACAAGGAGTCCAAATATCCACAGGGCAGCTATCAGCTGAGCCCAGCAGCAGATGCCACTCTCTTTAGATGACACATGTCCTTTTCCATTTGTGGCAGTCCATGTGCCTCATAATCAGATAAGTTCACTGATTTATATTATTGTGTCTGGCCTCTATGGCCATTAGAATTAGAAATTTATGGTTTTTTTCTTTTTCTTTATTGGGGGAGACACTCGGGAGAGGATTCAGCTTGTTCAGATTTCAAGAGATCTGTTTAACTAAGGAATTTTTTTCCACCCTGGCCAAATCATAAATTTTGGTTGGTGTTTTATATGTATTGATAAACAGGTTGAAAGAAGAAATGTATACATTAACTCACAGTCTAGTTGTGACATGTATATTTGTGGTAATCAAATAAAAATACTTAGCATTTATTTACTTCTCAAAGGTCATTATAATACTCCAGGTAACTACAGAATTAAGAGCTGCGTATACCATGTATTTGTACCCGTCTAGGTCCCAGGCCAGTGAAATGAAAAGTCTATTTACGTCGCCCCCTCTTCCCTCCATCTCCTATCAAGAGAGGAGCGCTACAGGAAGAAGTCATTCTCTAGATGGGCGTTTAGCGACTGAGTAGAAAAGAATTCTCGACCGGGAACCGGGCGGACGCAAAGCATCAGAATCAACCAGGTGAGTCCGTCCCGACCGTTATCAATGCTGCACTCAGAACTTTACAGAGAAACGTGCAGCTTTCAGTCCCCGAAGTTATCTTTTGTATTTAGAATAAAACTGCATAAAGAATAACATTTAAGCGCAACATCTGTGGTAGATCAGGACCCGGGAAGGACCCGAAGGCCCGAGTGCGCATCACGTTATAACCCGTTCCCGGGGCCGGGCGGCGACGCGGGGCCGGG